TGGAGATTCTATTCTATCATGGAGAGTGCTTGGTGTTCTCTGTGATGTCACCAGTGTTGTGGCAACACCAATGACTGTGGGTTATTCCTTCAGTTCCCATGGACATGTGGACAAGACTGAGCAGGCTGCTTGGGAGAAAGAATGGAGAACATGGAGAGACCAGAGAGAGGCAGAAGGAAGCTGGCCTTTAGTCTCAGTGTAAAACCTGGAAAAATAAATGGTTCTGGGAAAGGCACAGTAAGTCCAGAGCAAGGGACAAGAGGCTTCCTGGAGGAGGTGAACTTGAGCTGATATTTCTAGTAGTGTAGCTCAGCAGCTGGGAGTTTCTGGGTAGTAATGGGTGAGTCCAGCTTTTCTGGCTTTCTAAAGAGCAGACCCAGAGTCAAGAGTTTCTAAAGGTTAGTTTAGGAGAGCCATGATTTGTCCAGTTTGCAGCTGCTTTTTCTGGGAATTCCTTCAATTCCTTCTGACTGATAAAGAGGATTGGGAGAAAAAAATGGACCACTGAGCTGTCCCACTCTGGGTAGGGCATTGCTGCACTTCTCCTGGCCCTTGCCATTCAAGAATACAAGTTAATTTGTCTTTATCTACCTGCAGGGACTACTGGAGAGGCACCATCCCAGCTCTCCACCTTTACTGAGCAGGAGCAGGAGCAAGAAATGAGAAAAATCGAAAAACTCACCATTCGCTTGCATGACATGGAATGTGAGAGAAACGAACTTCGTGGTATCCTAGCCAATTATACTTGCAAGGATTTGAACAACAGGTAGTCATTATGCACAGTTCTCTGCTGACCTTCTTGAAACCACAGTATCAATCCCAGGTTTCCTGAGGAACAGAAGGCTGAAATTCCAGGGTGTCCTGCTGCCTAAACTAGTTTTGATGAGTTCCTTTGAGATGCAGACTTGGAACCCGGGGAGGAATGAGATAGGGACACAGGCTGTTCTGCTTCTTCCAAATGAAAAGAAGAATGTGTGGCCTCAATTGCACTCTTGGGATACAGATGGTAGTGAGTGAACCCTCAACATGTACTTCAAGAGACCTTGACAGATGTTAGCTTGTAGGAGATGCTAGGTGCTGTGTGTTTGTGGAGAGTCTTTGTACTTGACCAGCAGATGATTGTGTATGAAAGCTCATGAAAGCAGCTGGAGGGCCCTGGTTTATTCATTCAACTAAGGGTGTGGCCAGAAGCTCCCCTCTGGTCTTCTTATACTCTGTGGCAATGCCACATTTCAACATCTTGGGCATCCTGATTTCAT